TCTATCTATCTATCTATCTATCTATCTATCTCTCACACAGACACACACACACAGTGTCCTGATCTCTTAGTGCCCAGCAATGGCTGGGCGTACTGCTTTCCAGTGGCTGTCGCTGCTTCCCTTGGCTCTACTGCAGCAGCCTGATGGCCGACCGCCAGCAAGATTGAATGTCACTGGCTTCCCTGGCCTCTAACAAGTACTGGAAGCTGAGGTGAAGACAATTCTGGGCTAGCCTGGAGGGGTTGGGGTCTTGAAGTATCCAGACTTGGCATGGACTCCACCAGTTAACTCGGAGAGCCTGAACCTTTCCCAATTCCAACAGGTCTGAACTGACCTTTCCCTTGTCACATTCGCCTGGGCGCTTCCTTGGTCCCTACCATTTTAGAGCCTATCGGTCGTCAGTCCATCCCCAGAGCCTTGTGGCCTCGCAAAGCAGCCAGTTGGTGCATTCGTTCTCTTTTTAATTACTATTTTTTATTTTATTTATTATTACTATTATTATATTATTATTATTATTATTATTATTATTATCATTATTTATTTTATTTTATTGATTTTTAATCAGTCTAAGTAGTCCTCTGAACGCAGCCAGTTAGTGCAATCATCCTGAAACTCACAAGTTCAAGCTTTACTAAACTTTAAAAAAGAAGAGGGGAAAAAAAAAAAACTTGAAAAAAAAAGTCGAAACGGCATGTTTGCAATCACAGGTAGTTTTCAGAGGACGACTTTGTGATCCGAAATGGTTGCACTTCAGGCCTCAGTCCACTACCCAACACTCTACATGCATTTGGGCGCTTTCTCAACCGGATACCTTCACACTGCTGGACACGTCCAACTGCACCTGGTCCAGAAAGAGTCCAAATCCATGTAGTGCTCCTGCACCGGGTCCAGAAAAAATCCAAATCATGTAGTGCTGTGTAGTGGAGTGCAGGTACCTGCCAGCTTGGAGCATGGGATGGATCTGCGGACGTGGCCTTGGCAAAAAGCTGCCGCGCTTTCCTGATGTTTCCTTGCTGCTGCTCAAGCCGTCCCCACGCCTGCCATGCTGGTGCGTGACTTGGGTCCGCCGTCACCGCTTGCTTCAGTAGTTCCCTTGCGCGTACCACGCCTCCTTTCTGCTCCCTTCGCAATTCCATCATTGCCCATGCCTGGCCACGAGAGACGGACATACAAAACAAAAAACACAAAGGATGCTCCATTTACCAAATGTAGAAAACACAGTAGTGTCATGAGCCCAGTCTCGTCAAACAATCATGTCGTCAGATAGCAATGTCGTGAGATAACAATGTTGTGCAATGTCAAGATAATCATTCCAGCTAGTCCATCAACTCGAAGTCATTGAAGTACATGATCCTTCATAACCACATGTAAAGTCTCCAAGTCAAGAGTATCCAGACCAGAACAGAGAGGGGGAAGAAAAGACATGGAAGGAGAAGAATACTGTAGCAATCAAGTCCCTCTTCTCCTCCAGGCTTTCCCACCTCTGCCACGTCAGCAACCTGTACACAGTATGACACGTCGATGATGTAAACGCAGCCCCTCGCAGACGAGTGATCCTTCAGCCGCAAGCAGAATCAGCAGCAGCATCACATCAGGTGAGACCAGGTACGTACACACGACATCACATCTCGCCCACACTCTCTCTCTCCTCACTAGCTCGCCGTCATCTATGGTCACAGCAATGGCTGCCTTCCCTCTCTCTCCTCTCCTACTACAGCGTCTGGCTGGCGCCCACGACTCAGCCTGGCGCCAGCGTCCTCCTCTCAAGTCTCACGTGCAGCATCAAAGTCGCAAGCAACTCGCAAGACTGAATGTCCAAGCAGTGGCGAGGTCAACTCTGTATAGTGTTGACTCGTGTTGTCCGGGGTCAGCTTCTGTCCATGTGAGGCCCCAGATCGTCCAAATGTCGACGGCTCAGATGCAATTTGTCCCAGTGTCGGTCTGGACTCCTTGAGGCCTGAATCTTCCGGAACCTGCAAACCACTGTTAGATCATTCCCGATCGGCGGCCAGTATGTGTTGACTTCGACATCTCGGATCTGGGCCTGGGTCCAGGAGTTGACTGTTGACATTTCGATCAACTGTCGGCCTGGGCCTCTTCCTAGGGGCTGTTTGACCTTTTTTTCAGGGCCTGCCCGTTCGTGCTTGTCTGAGGGCGCAATCAGAGCCCAGCGGCTCAATTTTGGCACACGAGATACAGCATTCCATCCTGCCCGGTTTCGAGTTCCACCGCAAAAATTCCATTTCAGGCTTGGATTCTTAAACCTTTCTCATATGCAGAGACAATATCAGGAGCGGTAGGTAAGAGTTCTCTTCTACTAAACCAGCGAGCTTCAGAGCGGCGGTTGATTAGAAAACTTTACCTTGTATTGCTTCTGAGGTCTTCCTCTAGCTTCACTTTAGCAAGACCCGTGTTCAATGACTTTCTCTACTTGGTACCCATCATCCATTGAAGGAGGAAACGAAGACGGTCTACTTGGGAATTCCTGTCCTTCAGCATAGGGTAACAACTGAGATGTGTGAAAGACCGGGTAGGTCTTTAGACGAGGGGGAATGTCGATCCGGTAGGAAGGTCCACCGGCGTCCCCTATAACTTTGAGAACTTCCCAGGGTCCATAGTAGATGGGTAGAAGTTTCTGCGAGACATTTTCCTCGAGTGAAAATTCATTGGATTTAACCCAAACCATATCACTTTCTGTGAATTGTGCAGACCTTCTATGTGTGTTTGCCTGTTCAATCATTTTCTGTTGGGCACTTCAGGGTCTCGTGGTCTGAGTAGACTTTGAAGTGCCTACCTAAGAGATAGTGTTTCCATGTCAGTAGAGCTTGCAACAGTGCAAATAGTTCTCTCTCATAGGTTGAGTTTGCTACTTTGTTCGAAGGGAGTTGTCAGGACATGAACTCAATTGGTCGGTAACCCTTCCCATCATTTTCCTCCAGTACAGCCCCAATCCCGTACTGACTTACGTCAGTGGTCACAACAAAAGGCAAGGATGGGTCTGCAACTTTCAGAACAGGGTAGTGAGTGAGCGAATATTTTAGCTTTCTAAACACAGACTCGCAGTCTTTATCCCAAAGCCAAATGGTTTCTTTCTTCAGGAGCCTCCTCATTGGGGCAGCTAGGGAAGAGAAATTCTTAGCGAACTTCCTATAATAGCTGGCCAGCCCAAAAAAGGAGCGCAAGTCAGTTAAGAGTTTTTCGCTTAAGCAAATCTCTTATAGCAGCAACCTTCTTTTCCTCTGGTCTAAGCCCATCTTCATTCACAACGTCCAAACTTGTGCAAGAATGATACGCATGAATTGAGAAATCGTCCAGACACGCATAAATCAAGAAATTGTCCAAACTTCGAAGTTCGAACCGAAAAAAAAAAAGAAGAAAAAGGGCAAACAATTATAGCATTGCCTTTGTGCAAGAGCGAGGCTCCAGGCCTCCGTGGCATCCAGCAGGGCCCGACTGCTGCCCTGATTTACCCCAGCCCTAAGGAAAGGTCAAGGTCGGCAGAGACGTGACAACCACAGCCTATGGAAGTTGGTGGAAGCTGTTCAGAAACTTCAGGAGCTGGAAGAACAGAGTCCTCGGCGAAGCAACTGCTTGACAGAAGCACGGGAGGCGGCTGCTGAGGGACACTTCGACACTTTGGAGGATTGCTGGCTAAGTGCGCTAAAAATAGCGCATCAGAAGCAGGTTGGGCCCGGCGCATTCACAACGAAGGAGAGAGAGCTGGTGCAGTCGTGGCAGCCATAACTGCTCAGGATGACGATGGGGTGTGCAGGGGCTTGGGAGCACGATGGGAAGAGGAACCGCGATGGGCAGAGGGGCTTACCTGATGGTGGCCAAAGAGCATCGTTAGTGAAGAAGAAGAATAAAAAGAATATGTGAGAGAGAGAGAGTGTGTGAAAAAGGAAGTAGGAAGAGTAAGACAGGACGTAGTATAGGCTGTTACACTAAAGAGAACAGTTGTACTATTGTTGTCAATTCTATATCGTGAGGCAAGTTGTCAGGATTTTTGTATCAAGATACTCTGGCATAATTCCCATTCGGTGTGATTCCGGATTGTAATCTGCTTTCGGCTTTGCTCTCAGAAGCTTCATGTACTTTGCATCTTTCTCTGCAACGGAAAACATATATCGGGAAATGGTTGAAGACTCGAAACTCTACCAAAAATCGGGAAATGGTCGAAACATTGGATGCTCATCGCTTGGTTCCTTGCAAAAGGATGACACATAAATTGGGGAACGATCGAAACTCTACCAAAAAACAACAACAACAAAACACGAAACATAAAAAAGGGCAAGCAAACAACTACGCACCAAAAAAAGACCAATATATCCCCCAATTCTTGAGTGAAACGAACAAAACCCAGATGCAGATTGAGAAGCTCGATTAAAAAAAACAGAAAGATAGAGAGAGAGAAAAATCGAGAAAACAAACAAAAAAAAAAAGCAAAAAACAAACTAGGCTACCAGCCGGGCCGCCCGGGTCCCGGTGGCCAGCCCATGCAAGGACCAGGGAAGGTCCCAGCAATAAAAAAAAAAATCAAAAAAATCCGACAAAAAACTATGTTCCGTACATCTGGGCCTATAAGCCCTCCTCCATGCAGGCACGGATTCGAACCCGCAACTCGGCCTCAAAGCAGGACATCAAATACATTTATTTAATTTTATTAGTCTCGAAAAAATTGCCGTATTATCCGGTTCCGTCCAAGGGCAGACTCACTAGGCACTCAAAATCCCAGAATCGCAAAATCAGCGGCCAGATCCAGTCCTCTTCAAAGCAGAACCGCTGCTCGTTTTGCTACTCTCTGATTTTGAGGGTCGACTGTGAGTACGCCCTAACTTTTTTCTTTTTTTTTTTGGATTGAACCGCTCCATCTATTGGTGGGGAGCATCACCTGCTGGAAACCGGGTCCAGCGTATGCCCTAACTTAAGTTTGTCAGTTCCACAAGTTGGGCCCAGTGGCCCCACTCTGCTCGCCAAAGAACCCCTAATTCCGCCCCCCCTCTGGCCACCATATAGAAGGTCACTCCTGCGATCAACTTCCTCGCCTATCCTGCACTTGAGGGGAGAATCGAGTCCACACATGTAACTAACTATTGGACCCCTAACAAGAGTTTTTTTCGAAGAGTTCGAACCCTGTTGGCACTGTTGGTATCATCCAACACGGTTTTTTCTTAACGGTTCGAGCCATCCAGCCACTGACAAAAAAAAGTTTGAAAAACTATACATGGCTGAATGGTACACACATGTAACTAACTATTGGCACACGGATCATGAAGAGTTTGAACCCTGTTGGGTACCCCAATTACGTATGTTAGGTTTTTTTTTTTTTTTTTTTTTTTACGGTTCCGACTCCTTTTCCATTCTAGGCAGCGTCAGTCCGGTTCCTATTCCACCGGCAAGACAGAAATGATTACAATATGTATTCACTCACGCTCCGCCCCCTCATGGTGTGGAGGCCCGAAGGACAGCAGTGATTACCTCTCGAAGGAGGGATGTACCACCCTTCACCCCTGCCTAAGTTAGCCTGCTCGACTAGGATTCTGCTCTTATCCTATGCTTGGTGCTAAAAACCATAAACCCGCGCTATCTGTCTCCTATCTGTGGCCTGTCCCTGGCTGTCGTTTCTATTCTGTGACTGATTATTATACCTGTATTGTTTGCTGGGGTTGATCTGAATTCTAGGTGATAATGGTAGGGCGGGGTGTTTGAGGACCATTGAAGTTTTTCTTTGTGGGAGAGGTGTTGAGGTTTTGGGGTGGCTGCACTGGGACCCTTTGGGTAGGTGCAAATTGGCCTTCCCTTTTCATTTGGGGTTAGTGGGATAGGAGGGGGGTTGATGAGGATAAGGCAAGTTAGATAGATGTTAATTGTGAGAGGAATGGTTGGCGTGGGGAGGGGTTCGGGTAGGGGGGTGTGCTAGTTGGTTTGAGGTTGCTCTGAAGTTCCTAGGTTAGGGAGGAGGGGTGGTTGTAGGAGGTGTGTGGAAGGGCGGGGGTCAGGAGGCTCCTGTTGTGACGATGGTTGGGTGTTATGAGATTTTGATAATTTGACACTATTTCTGTAGTGGTTTTGATATAGGTGGTGGTAGTTAGGCAGGAGTTGTTTGTATGCATATCCAATTTTTGAGGGTGAGTCTATCATTATTTATTGTGCCTAGCTGTCCTTTTCCTAGTTTGAGAGTTATGAACTTTTTTATTCTTTCCGCTTTTTTATCTGGGTCGGTAGGGAGTTGGTTGAGTTGTTTTTTCCCGAACGGCGTGGATTTCCGGGTCTATTAGCTGTTTTATGACTATGATTGGGTTCTCTGGTGGAGTGAGACGATCACCAGAAGTGTTATCGCATCTGTTTCTCCATATGGTCCAGAGAGTGCTTTTTATTTGATTTTCTTTCCTTCGGCCTCTCATCTCACGGCGAGCGCACCACAAAGTGGATTGATGGCGGAAATAGCTTAATGGTAGAGTATAGCCTTGCCAAGGCTAAGGTTGAGGGTTCAAATCCCTTTTTTTAATGATTGATGAGAGGAAGGCTTCGAAACCCTTGAGTGTAGGGGATTGTTCGAAATCGAGGAATAGTGTAGCGGGGTTAATAAAAAGGTGTAGTTTGTGATTTCGTTCCAAGGAATCCCGATTGCATACCAGATAGATCTGGCTTTGGGCATTCTATGAAGCAGTGATTTAGGGATTCTATGTCTATGGATTGGGTGTTGCAGACTTTGAACCAGGAGTCTTGTTCCCATCTTTTTTCTTGGTTGCATCTGCGTGCCAGCCATTGGTTTACCGGTACTGCTTTGAAGACTAATAACCATCTTAGGCTTGCTATCTTGACCGGTCTTGTGGTGAAGATTTGAGGTCCAGGGTGGTTTGAAGAGGGTGTTAGATAGTTGTGGTTCCTGTTTTGTCCACCTATTGTGAAGAGGCGTAATTTAGGGGTTAACCCCTTCTGCGAGGCTACGCCCGCTTAGCCCCTACTGGGCCCTATCTGCAACAAGGTCGGCCGCCCTAAGTGAAGGCAGGCATGACAGGCCCTTCGGGCCTCATTCTTCAGGGTACCCCGCATCGGGGAAATTCAGACAGTTGCGTTGCGCCAGTTGGTTGAATGAATCCAGGCCCTGGGCCGCCTGTGTAAATGAATGTGAAGCAGGCCCTGGGCTGGATACGGGTACCGGGCCAAACACAGGCCGAAAGCAGTTGGGCGCATGCAACCACTTCAGGCCC